TATTCTGATTGTCTTACAGTATTCAACGATACTCCATCATTCCATTGTCAACAAATTCCGGTTTAATTGGATGGGTCCCACATTGTGATACGCTACACGCTCTCATTAGGGATTACCGGGACAAGAAAAAAATACTGCTGAACATTGAGCATAGGATAATGCTGAGGGTAAGTCAGAGATGGTACATACCAACGGGTGCACTGGACCATGATAGATTACAGGTTCTCGGTTCAAATCCAGTCATGACTCCATTGTCAAATTTATATCAATATTATATATTTTCACTTTGATCGTAAATTATTTATGATGGTCCTATGTGATAATGAATTATAGAAACAGTTTTAGTTTGGCTACGTTTATTGTGTGGTCATTTAACAGAATAATCTGATCGACACTAATTCTCGCTTAAGGTTGAACACCCCCCTAAAAACAATGGAACTCTCTGTCCAGGGCCCTAACATCCTCCATCCACACTTCCATTCTCATTTTCCTCCATGCCCATGATCATGGACAATAAAGGGCACTGTCTAATGTAATTGATGTTATTTTGCTTATGTAGATGGCACCAGATTATGAGCACCTTACCTTGATGCAGAAGGTGGAGGTGTTCGAGCATGCTCTTGAGCACACTCAAGGAGATGACTTAGCCAAACTATTGTGGCTGAAAAGCCCAAGTTCTGAGGTAAACTTATTCAAACGTATTAAATATTATTATAATACTATTTATTTAATTATTTTTTTTTTGTATGTACATATATATTTCTTCCTCTTTCTTTCAATCTGGCCTCCTATTTGAATACAGTTGAATTTCATAGGTGGTCATGTCTTAAAAGGTATTTTAATGATGACCTCTGTACTCTTGAACATGTTATTTGTTTTACGACAATGTTTCTCAAGTTCCGTTTCATTTGATTCGTGTTCCTGAGTATTATGTATATATTATTGTGTGAAGAATCAATATATTCAATCCAAATCAAATAATGCAATCTCAAAATGTACTTTTATGACATTTTGAGAATAAAGGAAGTTTGTATATTGTACATATTTATCATAACAATTTAGTAATTATTATTTATTATATTTAAGGATAAATTTAAATTGATGGCTGTGTCATCATACTTATAAGATGACTTTTGATTTCTTTACTAGGTCTGGTTTGATCGTCGAACAAACTACACCCGATCCTTGGCTGTCATGTCAATGGTTGGCTATGTTCTGGGGCTAGGAGACAGGTGAGGAAATCTCCATAAAAAAATTCTTCATTTACGGAATTGTTGTTTTTTTTAAATATTTGTTGATATGTATAAATAATAATTTGTAATCATTACCTATGTGTTGTTTGTTTAGACATCCGTCAAATCTTATGTTGGATCGACTAACAGGCAAGATCCTACACATCGACTTTGGTGATTGTTTTGAGGTTGCCATGACGAGAGAAAAATTCCCAGAGAAAATTCCATTCCGTTTAACACGAATGCTTATCAATGCCATGGAGGTAATCTTGTTCAATTTTGACTCTTTAGCATTTTGTTATTGGATGTTAATTATTATAGTAATAATAATAGGAGAATCTTAAAGGTGTATTATGTAGTTTAGCATTTTACACATACAGTCTCCCTCTAATTAAAAACCCCTCTAATTAAGGACCACTTCCAATTTAAAACCACATGTCTGTAGTCCCATATTAACATTTGTCTTTTATCTTTGAAGTTGCTAAAGACCATGGAAACCCCAGTCCCAAAAGTGGTCTTTAATTGGAGAGGGACCTGTATTTCAAACAACTATTATTTCAGCACTTCCAAAAGTTGCAATTTAAATTGCTTGCCTACCTTAAATTACCTTTACATATATAAATTGAACTCTTTATAGGTGACTGGTATTGATGGTAACTATCGTATCACATGTGAGAGTGTGATGGACGTGCTGAGAGCACACAAGGACAGTATTAT